CTCTTCTTTAGAGTCAACAGTGCCCCAACATCTTTAGACTGTCAGTTGCTGGTTATGAACCGAGCTGTGAGTTGCTCGGCTAGCTGACTCCAACTATCCATCTAATTCCTAGGAAGCCCATCAAACCACTTTATCGCTGATTCGTTGAGCCTGCTAGGGAATATGGTACAAAGCAGTGACGCGTTCTTTCTGTGCACCATCATCAATTGCCTGTAATGGCATATGTGAGTCGTGGAGTTTCTTCTTTTCATCATAAAGTTTGAAACTCAGGATGACAAATTTGCTCGGTATCCGCGCTCGATCTATCCATTTAGTAAACGGTGAGACTTTTGCTTCTCTTACGTACCCTCCGGTTACTCTATGTGCAAGATCCCTTGCGGACCTTTGCTCTAGTCGTTTCAATCGGCTATCAAGTTCATTTGTGATAAATTACTTCCAATCTTTTTGACCATTTGACTGATCTGTCCGTTTACGGTACTGAGTTTTCTGAGGATCTTCATTTATTTCTTCCTATCTGTCAAGCGTTCTGTTCCACCTCCTACGAGTTTGGCGATCCTTATAATCTGAATCTTCCCTGTCACTTACTTTTCTCGATTTTTGCTTTAATTCTTCATTTTCATGTTTCAAGGCCTTCTCCCTTGCGTATGATTTTCTAAACATCTCGTCGTGCGCATCAAGGTGGTCTTGCAATGGCTGAACCAGCTTCATAACGGCAGGAGTATCCCCCTTGGCACAGAGGGATCCCTCCTGCGGATCATCAAATCGGTTCCCACCATCTTCAGGGTTGAAATTTGCGGAGGAAATTCTCTTCTTGTTGTTCATCCTGACTATCGTAAATTTCCACCTGGATATCACTTCCAGAAAGAAATGAGACACAATAGTTCGGATCCGAATCTTCACGTTGCATGTCAAGTTGGAATGGTGACCCGCGTGTGCTATTCAGTATTGACATGACTTTCTGTTGCAGAAACTTCCAACAGACGGTGCCAAATGTAAGAGGATGAAATTCTCTTACTTCCTAGAAAGTTGTGTTATCTTTCCACAGGATCAAGATTTCTGCAAAACGAACAAACTACCTAAGATCGAAGTGCTTCGATCAAAGACACTCCGATGCTTAAATCAGTAAATGAAAAAGAGAATGGAATAGTTTTCTGGAAGGATATTGCGTACCTTTATTATTCTCCTCTGCTGGTTTTTATAGACTCCAACTACCTTATCGTTCTGGAGAAGATTATTCATTCCTCTATGATTTGGCGTTATTTGTTAGGTCTCCTCAAGATTTCCCGAACGCTCCCTTGATTATAGCTTAGATTGATACAATCAGATCCCTTGAATATAGGCTACGATCATGCCATTCGATTCTTATCTTCCTTACCGAGGAGTTTCTGCTCGACTTTTCTGCCGACCTGGTCAATTCAACTCGGGCACTGCAGGACTTAAACCCTCATGTGACCCTTGCATGACCATTTACACATGGCATAAATTTTATGCCCCTTCAACTAATATAATATCAAGAAAAGGAAAATGTATCCATTTTTTTGCAAAGAAAGACGGCTACTTCACGAGCCGCTACTAATAATCGAAAAGATTCATAACTTTTCACACTCCTCTCTATATCTAATAAATTCTATACAACAGAAGGAACAAAACATATAAAAGGAAATAAGTTGTAGCTCTTATGGTCTAAAAGAGAGACTAGAAGCTCTATCAGTCTCTTGTATTAAAGACTTCTTAACCTCTCTATGGAAATCACTCTTTACTTTAGGAAAGTCAAGCTTCTCTCTTAGAGAAGCCACCATTATGAAGGAATGGAGTAAAAAGATGATATTTACCTTTCTTAACTCTAAGTTGTTCCATCAAAAGAATTTTATTCCTAACAGCTTTTCTTAAAACCAAACTTGTCGTAGTCTCTTAATAATTTCCAATTCTATCCAAGACTTAATTTTATGTTATATATATATATAAAGGTAACATGCATGGCATCAAAATCATTAATTATTGTAATGACATAGACGTTGGCTTTAATTTGTTGAAAAGTTATATAGTAGGTATAAGATAAAGATGTGGTTAGCAAGTAATTTAGTCCATTATTAATCTATAAGCTGGCTCTTTCTTGCCATAAATTTATGCCCCCAAAGACCTAACGGATAAGGAGGAAACAAGATTAGGAGTTGTTAATAAACAATGACGTTACATTAGATTCGCATTTAATCACATGAAACATGTGGGGACTACATATTATTGTGCAAAAGGGTCTCAAAGCTGCTAAAGACAAAATTACAGAATTTATTAATTTTCTAATTATTTTTTTAATAATACAAGATAAATACAAATATTAAAAAGCAACTTGGGTTCCTCATTTAAGCCTCCTTACCAAATACTTGATATTAAATCTGTCTCTCTCTCCAAGTTAGCAAGGCAATTGGATGGAAATCATGTGCAATAATCTAACATATTCAAGACGATTCTCACTCTATTTATATATGGATGAAGATTCATTTCATTTATGTTTTCACTCAATTTTAATTATCGATATACCAACTATCATTAATACAACTGAGACCCACTTTTTGCAAGTACACTCTTACTCATACACGGTGTATAATAAATTCTTGAATGAAATTAAATGAAAGTGAAATACAAAAGATTTAGATCCTATATATCTTGATCTAAAATCAAGAAAATTGAAAGAATTTAAAAAAGAAGGGTATAATAATCGAATAATTTATCTATAGGACCCACCAAAATTATTGGCACAACCATCCATTGAATCCAACTATCATTGGTTAAAAGTCAATTCTTTACCCTTCATTTGACTTTAGAGTTCAATCAGCCTAAGTTTGGTTCACCTTTGATTATATTAGATCCAATGCATTTTTTTTCTCCAAGTTGCTAGTCTTTTTTATCTTTTTATTTTTTTTTATAACAGGTCATACTTTTTTATTATTTTTTATTGCTTTGTTTTGTTAATCCAAGTTGTTTAGGATATGTTGCATAAAAAGGTATAGAGCAACCTATAACTAAGATTTAATCAAGCAGTACTTCTTTCTGTTCCTTCTAACATGGAACTTCACAAAATTGGATGGGACAGTTCCTTTTTTTCTTTTTGGGTCTTGTAGAAGAAAGAGAGAGGTGTGACATATAGAGAGGAAAATAAAATCACCATATTTGGATACATAATTTTTGACTGAAATTCAAATTAGGAATTCTTATGAGTATCAAAATCCATATCAATTTGACATTTGATCCAAAAAGATTTGGCTCGAACTTGGAGAGAAAGAGAAAGCGAAGGGATTGAAATAACGAAATGACGATCACGACATGAACTTGAAGAATATTCCATCACTCTAGCTAAGCGTGCGCACACACTTGAACTCGCCCATCCCAATACTCGATCTTTGTTAATATTCTTTGGCCAATTTTTTGCCAAATTACCAATGTCGAATTATAGTAAATAAATGATTTCTAAATTATATTTTTTCGTTTGGAACCTTATCAGCATTTATGAAATGTCAAGGTGTAGCTGAAAAATAAACTCAACTATTAGGGGATTTTAGTGTAAGTTACTAGAAAATATAAGACATACATTGATGAAACTGGTGGAGCTCTGATTGAAGTTGGCAAGAATTTTCAAAGTCTTGAACATTGTGAACCAGCTAGAGGAGTAGGTATATTGGCTGGCATGAGGAAGGAATTGCATAGTAGAACCTAATATCCTATAGATACCACATATATGTAGTAGTATATGCACCCTCTAGTCCTTTGCACTTTAATCTCAAGGGTAGTTCAAAGTAATCCTTTAGGGTCAGGCCATGAGGAAATTATTTCTTATGAATATCCTAATCCCGGCGTGGATAACCATCTACCTTTAACTAGACTAGGGAAAAAATTAATCGAGGTGCGCATAAACTGGTCTGGACATCCTTCACTGATAAACAAAAAAGGCCTTCTACACTTTCACCAAGTTACACTTCTACTCTTTTTGTCGATCAAACGAATTATGTTTCTTCGTTAGAATAATAAGCTATATATAATATTGGAATTAATTATTTTGTTCATAACAAATTTTTGTAGTGCTAAAAAGAAATTAAGATCTTCCTTGATTCGTTTTTGATGAAAACTAATACAAATTGGTGGTTTGTTGATTGAAGTGTTTGGAATTGGTGTTTTAATGCCAATTTACTTTTTTCTTTTTTTAAATCGGGATGCAGAGTGAAGTGTCATAGATAAATTATATGGAAACACTATCAAACATAGTGCTAAAACGATAATATTTAAGGACACGTAAAGGTCCGACATCGAGTAATGACAAGTAATGGCCATCCAAATAACGAGATTGCCCCAAGGCAGGAACGAGATTGCCTACCACTTACCATTCTCATATCTTGTTATAACTGCATGAATTTGTACATTGGATACAAAGAAAATAAACCATTGCATTGCGATCATAATTATTTTTGGGATCGTCCCAAAGCCACACAGTGTTTTATACTCGTGAATGCAATATGAACTTTAGATATATACAACTATTTTTAGGCCACACAGAGAGAATAAACAGAGATTCAAAACTTCCAATCTCGAAATGCAACTTTTTTATACAAGTTATCCAGGAGTTATGGGGGTTGCATTGTTGAGAATCAAGAATAAGAAGGTTGAAAGTGCAATTTTTTTGTTTTTTCTTTGCAAAATTTACAACTCTAATGTGAACAATGCCACGTGACCTCTTCATAATTTGAAGTTAAATGGGCCAAGAAAATTAGCCGTTAGAAACGGACGGCCATGATACTAATTACATAGATATCAAGACATAGTCCGGAATGGAACCTTTTTATTGGTAGCTCCGTGCACTGAAATCTAGGCAGACATACAAAAAAATTAAAAATAAAATAAAATATTTTTGTATCTTAAGGCGCACGATATGCACTTGGGTCAAGTTGAAACATTAAAAAAAAAAAGACTCACAGAAAAGACAAATGTAGGGCGGCAACACGTGTCATATGATCTCACCCCGTGGTCCCACACCATGGTGTTAAGCTGCAACGCCGGCGTTCCTCCTCTCTCTCCATCACCCCTCGTTGGAACACCCTCGAACACTCCGGCAATTCTCCGAGATCGGCAAACAATGACTCGTCCTCTTCTCTCATTGAGAAAATCATCGTCATGTCAGCATCAGTGAGTTTGTCATCGGTTAATATTGGGCTCTCGAGCATGGTGGAGGATGTCGAATCCAAATCACAAAACCACCCGAATTCGCTGTTGATAATTAGGGATTCCTCTCCAAGATTGACAAATTTTTCACTTGGATCGAGTTTGGATTGATTAGCAATAGCTATTGGAGTACCTTCGGAAATCAAAAGTGCATCATTTGTTGTTGTAGTGGCTTCAATTACAATGGAGGTGGTGCTCAAGGGGTCTTGGTTCTGATTGTGATTGTGGTTGTGGTTGTTGTTGTGGCCCTGATTATTTTTAGCGGCCGGCCAAGGGTGATTGTGCTCACAAGAGTATGTCACCACCAGCATGGTGGGATCCACATGACTCCTCTCTACTTGTTTTCTTGCTGGACAACCCTTTGAACTACTGCACCTATAATAACCCCTGCCAAATTATAAAACAAATGATTGAATCTTGATTGGCATAGCCTCTATACTATAACTTGCAGTACATTACAAATACATTATAGGACACACACACACTCTCTCTCTCCCCTTTATTATTGTTGCATAGTACGACTCTTCATAAAGAAAGATATAATAATAAAAGAATGGTTGTAGAAATCAACAATAAGAGAAGTGATCAGATAAAGAAAGATATAATAATAAAGGGTTGGTTGCCGAAATCGACGATGAGGGAAGTGACCAGGCCGATGCAGTCGGATCCATGGTTAAATTTTTTTTCTAGGGTTTTTAAAATATGTTTTTAGGCGAGATGAATGTGATTCATGGAGAGTAGGGATTAATTACCTCGGGTAAGGAGAGCCTTTGATGGGCTTCTGTCCATATTTCCTCCAAGCCCAAGAATCAGCCGGTGGAGCACTAGTCTCGCATTTAAGCCGCGATCCTTCAACGTCTCTGATTGGCACTGACACCACTCTTTTCTGTACAGCTCGCCTACTACTGAAACAAATACCAACAACGTATTCTTAATAAAAAAATTTCTTCAACTAACCTCATGCACATGCACTCGAAAACAAAACCCTAGAAAATTCCATACTTTTTATTCAATTGGAATACTCGCCGGAATCTAACACAACTCCGTCTCCGGCCAAGAAGAAAACTCATATATACACTCACACACATATACATATAGAATCATATCGATGTATATCTTGTTGGGACACCACATATCTATTGCTGACCTTCTTTTAGGGGAGGAGGTAGAAGTCATCTTGCTGTCGTTAAACATGGCAGAAGGCGTCAAATCACTGCTATTTTCCGGCGAGTTTTCAAGATCTTCTTGCTCACTGACAAATGGATGGTTGTTGAATCTGCCGTCCATAGCTGAGAGGTTTTTGTGGCACCCACTAAGCTTTTATGGTGATCAATCCGAACAGCTAACGTTATTTCTGATCCTGGCCTAAAACCGAAGAGAGAGACAGAGAGACAGACAGACAGAGAGAGTTTGATAACAAGAAGAAATGGGAGAAGGCGGTGAAAGGGGTGGTCCTTTAATATGGGTCCTAATGTTGACAGATGGGCAATGGTATAGTTTATAGAGGACGTGCAAGCTAATGTGAAAATAATCCAAAAGATTATTATTTTATTACAATGTGAAAGCGACTCCAACGTTGATTTCTATTGATATAAGGATACAGTTCATTAATGGTGCCTGCAAGTGTGTTCATCTTGGGAAAGACCAATCTTACCCTTATTGTTTTTTTTTGTTAAATTAACAAACACCAATTCATCACACAAATTTAACTACTTACTGAACATCAATACAAAATGAGTAGTTATATTATAGTCTAGATCATTAAGATACTCGACTCTCACCCTCATCGTTTCCATTGATTTTTTGTTCTGATCTCATCCAAACGTAAGTATGTTATAGAAGAGTGACAAAGTTTAGTTATTTTTATCTTATTTCCCTATTGGTTCAAGTAGATGTTTGAATCTCCTCATTTTGGACCAAAATTTAGAAATGTCAATCAAAATCAGTCGAAGAGTAATGTTACGGTGATCAAATTTAGAGTCCAAATGACATGACAATTGATTATTTGAAATTTTTATTGGGACTCAAATGACATGACACCAATTAAAGAAGACAAAATCAACTGTCATGTCATTTGAGCTCTAAATTTGGTCCTAAAATTTAGTCAGTCTATCATTACTGATCAATCAAATAATGATAATAGTGGCATTTGGTAGTGTTATTTGCCTTGAAAATCTCATGAAATTTATTCTTTGAATTCATATATGTAACTCAGTTAAATCCTGATTGCATGATTCTCATGATCCAACTAATTCAGTCCATAATCCTATTTGAATTTCAACTCGAATTTTGTAAAAATACTTTGATTAGTTTTGGAAAGTGGTTTCAAAAAATGAGTAAAATTAATAAAATTAATACATGTGAAACAAAGCTAGAAGTTTTATTTGTATATATCATGTCTAAAAGTTCTTGTAGTCAACCAAATATAATATAAAAGGAGTGCCCAAATTAGCCTAGTGTATTCCAAGTTTATAAAAAGGACATCTCTTCAATAAAAGAAGAGCCCATTTGAATAAGTTCACATGGTCTTTCCCTTCAATGAAGGAGAAAACTAATGGCACTGCCAATTAATCTTGTAAAGTATTTGTTCATTGAATATTTCTTTGATGGTGACCTCACCAACTCCTGCCTTGTTCTACATATGATTTAACTGTACTTACCCTCACCAGCTTACCCTATCTTGAAATCAAGTTTTCTTACTTAAAAAATGTCAAATTAATAACTCTATGTGAACAATGTTCTAGTTATGCTGTCCATATTCATGGTAACATCATTGTTTGGTCAACAAAAAACAAAATGTCCCTAGAACAGACAGAAGAGTAGATCCAAGCCACACATTAACTTAATATTGTTATTATTATAGGTTATCATCTTTCCCTAGATTCATGTGTGAAAGTAACAAGAATTTTCGTCACTAGGTAGACAAATCATTTGTGTTAATCCTGTTATGAATATCTGTATTCTACTCTGTTTCGTATTTGATCTTAAAAAAAAAACTTTTAGTGTTTAATTTGGAAATTCATGAGTCTTAATCCATGGAGAAAACGAATGGACGCATTACTTGAAATTTGATCCAATCTAAAATTAGAAAACTAGGACATTTTTTTTGGATAATATATTATGAAATTGTGGAGGTAATGGTTTTATTGCTTTTGTTTCTGAGACTTTCTTGTAATATTCAATGAACCCTTGCTGTTGTGTTTCGCCAGTGAACTTTGCCTCCAGACAACCACATAATCAATCTCATTGGTGTTGTGTTTTTTGTTTTTCTTTAGTTTGTTTGTTTGTGGTTATGCATAGGATGCATCTTGCTTGTATGATTTGTTTAGTCTTAGTTCACTGAGAGTGAACTTCATCGCTGAAAGGGTTTTAACATTGAAGAAAGGTCAGCTCCATGCTGCTCCAATGGGCCCTAGACCCCTTACCCAGTGGATGAATATTACTCATGGAATAATTTTTTGAACCTCTATCATGAAGTTACACAACAAAAATCATCGCATAAAACAACACATGGTCACACAAGCAAAGAGAATCCACAGAGAATAAACAAGCACACTTATGTTTGGGGTCTATTCCGTACTTTAGGTTTTTCCGAGCTCATATTTGACTCATTAATAGTCATGTATGGTAAGATCCATGTTTTTGTATAATCCGGCTTGCATTGTTCTAATTATTAAGGGTGCATTTGGTAACATTTTTGTTTTTTTATTTTTTTTATAAAAAAAATCAAAACAAAATTTTATTTTTATTTTTTTAATAAAAATTAAAAATATGAAACATGTTTGTTAGTTATTTATATTTAAAAAATTGTGAATATAAAAATAAAAAACATGGTTGATATTATACAAAAAATTTACCACCCAATACCACCTAAACCCACCACTAATAACCACCCAATACCACATTTAACCATTGAAATCCACCAACCCCAAACCCTCGAAATCCACCACCCACCACCCCCAAACCACCTAAAACCCACCCTAAAACCACTCAACCCCACCCCCAAAAACCCACCCAACTGCACCCTTGAAACCCATGCTGAAACCCCCCCACCCCCAAACACCTTGGGAGGTTTCAAGGTGGGTTGGCATTTTATATGATGAGGGAAAAGAAAGGTTTTTTGTTGTTAATAAGGTTTGAAGTCTAGACCTCATTAAATAAGACTCTCTATCTTTCGCTTGTTTTTTTTTTTTGGATATTTTTAAAACAATCATTTTGGATGTTTTTAAAAACTGACATTGTTTTCAAAACGGATCAGTCAAAAAAAAAAACAAAATAATTTACCAAACATATTTTTATTTTTATTTGTCTCAAAAATTGAAAAAAAAAACAGAAACTTGCAGTTACCAAACGCAACCTAGATTGATCAGATTGGACCTAATTATGACCCAAACTATGTCTAAATTCATAGTCATTGGCTTCATGTACATTGCTGATGGGACTTATGAAGATCTTCAAACCTTAGTTGATAAGGAACTAACTAGGTCAAAAGAACAAAAAAAAAAAGAAAAGAACAGAAAAAGGTGAAGTTTGGAAAAATATGAAGCCAATTAAAAGTTTATGATCAAGCATGGCAATCTTCTTGTTCTTCTTCTTTTTTAGCTTACAATCCACAAGCTTTGAAAGTTCCAAGGTGCAGATTTGAATGGCAATAGATAACCGTTATATTACCTTTTTCTAAAGGGTTGACAAGGTCAGTCTCTGCTCTATAGCCCACCCTCAAAGAAATGGATGGAAATTGCTCATTGGACAGTTTGTGACATAAAAAACATATCAAAATATCTAATCTTCTAGAATGAATCTACATATTTTTCCATTTGTTTTTTAGCCTAAGCAAATGCTGCGTAACTACGTGTATCGGATAACTTTCATTTATTTCTCCTTCTCTGACTTTGTCCACCCCCACATGCCCTCTCTCTCTATCTCTCTAAAATATTGGGTGGAATGATAAGGTGAATTCTACATATTATAGTAATCACCATACCATGTCATTTAATAACTACTCAAGTGAAATTTATCTTACCTATGTATAAGTTTATTATTGAATAATAAATATCACATGTTAATGATGATACGGTGTCATTGTTACACCTAATGTATGTGTTAGTTTTTCTTTGACAAGTATGTAAGTATATCATTTTCCTATTTCCAGTGTCGTCGCAATTATGATTCCATTGAAGGGAAGCTTCCTCTTAACCTTTATATGTTGGAAATCCCTCCCCATTTTCTTTGTGTTTAAGACAGCAATACCATATGGTGTATTACATTATAGTCTACAAAAAATATTTTAAGTAAAACTCTGGCAATGAATTTTGGATCCGTATATCATACTCCTTAATTTCTCCTAATGGTAAAGTCACCTACATTATATGGAGAGAGGACTCGCTTATGTATGGAGAAAAGTGTAATGGATGACTATGGAACCCCAAACACTAGGATTGTTCACCCGAGCCGACGGGTTAAAAATAGTGCATTCCATTTTCTAAGTTGATGAATTGTGAAAGTCTAATTTTTTGGCTCACGCTACCCGATTGACAGTAATGTTCCGAGTCAAATTTCGTCCAAAAAATCAACTTGGAAGTCTTGTAAAAATGCAAAATATCTCATATATTTTCAATTTTTGAGTTATTAATTCTTGGTTTACTTTTACAATTAGGCTATTAAAATATAATATAAAGAACATGTAAACTAACACAATAAATCAATAATGCTAAAAAAACACAATAATAAATCCGATAATATGAGCATATAAAACGACGTCGTTTTATACCAAATATATTATTTTTTAAAAAAATTAAATATATATGTGTGGGTAGGATAAGAATGCACAATTTTATGGGTATTCTATATTTTTATCCCCGATTTTGCGAAATACTAAAATTTCTTCTGTTGGTTGGCTGAAATTTTATGAAATTTCAATAAAATTACATTATTAGATCAACAAATTAGATTTAAATAACCTTACTATTTCACTAATCGGGTAAAGGTCAAATAGGAAAGATGCGGAATGAGTCGAGTGGGCGAAATTTTGAACAGCCCCACCAGACACGGTATGTAAGTTTTTCTAATCAATGTCGTATGTTGGGTAGAATAAGGTGTATATATAATAATGCCTGTAGCCATTTATCGTGCAGCTGATTTGGGGATAATTTTTACTGTTATCTCTCTCTCTCTCTCTCGCTCTCTACAAAAGAATAATTAAACAAATCTTGTAACATTCTACCTGGGGGCTATGAAGTATGAGCCATTATCAGTATGCATTTGAAAATCCCATGTGCAATCTCATT